TTATCCAATTGGTGTTGTACAGAATAGTCAAGGTGATGTACTTATTGCTGACAATCATAATAATTTCAATTTAACAATATTTACACAAGGTAAAAAAGAAATTTTAAGAATTGTTTTTTTTAAATATAATTCTATTCATTAGATGGACAATTAATAAATGCACTTGAATCAAAAGTAAAACATGCTCAATGTTTTGATGTTGCATTAACCGATGATGGAAGTGTTGTTCTAGCAAGTAAAGATTATCGTATATATGTTTATCGTTATTTAATGACACCATCATTAATGGGCAATGGTGTTACAGGAAATAATACAGCACCATCATCACCTATATCATCATCATCAACAACACCGAATAGTAATCAAATGATCGGTGGGGAATGTACATCACCATCATTTATTAATGGTCATGATGACAGTCCATTGACTATTTCAACACCAAATACAAGTAATGGGTATTAATATAATCATCCTTTTCCTATGGTTTGTTTTCTCTTGCAAATCTTTTTATTTATTCTTCTTTATATTCCCTAATTTCTAGTCTCCACCTGCTATCATTACCAATGCTTGCTGTGTAGCTCGTTTTCCTTTTTCTCTTCTACTTCTTTTTTCTACTGAAAATTTACGCGCGCTCGTGTGCTATCTTGTTAGAAAATATTTTGTTTTCTTAACGATGATACCAAAACATATACGAAAGAGAGGATACCGAGAAGCCGAAAGAAAAAAATTCAAGAAACTTCAAACACAATGTTCATAAAAGAACGAAATATATATAATACAATTAAAACATCATTGTTTGTTGTTTGTTAAAATTTTTTTTTATTATTATCATTATTATTATATCGTTGTTTTGTTATTTGTTGTCGACTTTTTCTATTTTTCCCTTCTTTTTTTTCTTGTTATCTTGTGCTTAGTAGATTTGTTATTATTTGTTTTTTTTACATGTATCTACTGCTATATTGCTCCTGCTGCGACAATCAGATCAATGTCGCTCTATCGAAATACCGGGGAACATTTTTTAAAAAATGTATATAGATTTATTTATCCTAAACTTTGTCTGGTCTTTGTGCTTGTACATAGTACTTACTAACATCCATTCCTTATACCATTTACGTTATATAAATATATATATATATATATATGTATGTATCTATGTCACCCAGTAAAGAGCCTGTTAATACTAATATATTTTTTAATGTCGTGTCTATTTATTTATATTTTTTATTGTGGTTTTTCTCAGTATTATTACAACTCATCGGCATTTCTTACTCTTTTTAACGATCAAAACAAAACATTCTTGTATTTATGTTATGAGCCGTGTGCGTGCGTATGATCAAAAAACAAAAAATTGTACTCCTCTATGTATTAATCTATATTCATGTCTTTTCATTATCTTCCACTTGTTTTCTGTTGTTGTTGTTGTTATTATTATTATTATTATTATTATTATTATTTCTTTTGTTTGTCTTTTTAAGTTTTTCTATATCCTAACTATAACTATATCTTAGCAAACAAAAAAAAAGTCAAGTCAGAGTATTTATATATTGTTTTGTGTAATTAGCAACAAAAAAAAAGTAAATATGTCTTTTCTCGTTTTGTTATGTACTGTGATTGTGCTTTGTGACGTAGCTTATTTTTGTTTTCTTGTTTCTTTAAAATATGCATTCAGAAAAAAAAATAACATTATTTACCCTGTATTTGCGCTATTTATGGTGGATTTTTTTTTATCCTCAGTTATTCTATTAAAAAAAAACAATAACAAATAACAAACAGTGTTCGTTTTTTGTTTTTCGTATTATTGCATACTCATTACTAATATTACCTCTCTCTCTCTCTTTTCTTTTTCACTCTTGTTTGTTTTTATTTCTGTTCTGTTTTCTTTTTGTTTTTTTCGTTGTTATATGTTGAGTTTTATTGAATATATCCTAGTTATTGTTTCAGCTGCTGAGTTTTCATTTTGATCTGCTTTATACAACGGAAATAGATGAAATAGATAGATCAGTTATCAGTTGTACATAAATCAACAGGAAATAGAAGAAAAATGACTGTGATAGACAACAAGCGCGATTGAATGTTTGAAAAGTACACCAATTATCGATTGAACTTTGAAGTATGTCTGGATGTAAGTCGGCATCCGATGCCGCTTTTCTTCTTAAATATGTCTATAAAAGAAAAATACAGTTATCGAAAGAGAGGAACGGCAATGTCTTTCACTCCATTGATTGTTTGATTAAAGGTAAGAAGAAAGTGTTTTATCATCTAGAAAAAAAGAAAATTCTTTCTTATAACAAATATTATCTTTTATTTAAAAATCAAATATAATTTTCTCATCGAGTTAAAGAAAAGATAAGACAATTATAAAATAGAGAAATATTTGAATTACTTAATGGAGTAAAAGTCAAACAATTGATTATTATGATTAAACAATGGATAATAAAAAAAGGAACCCTACAGACATATTCTAATCAAAATGAACAAAAGAATATTTTTGTAAATAAAAAGAAAAAAGTATTCGAGATATCATGCCATTATTAATTATGCCAAAAGAGTGTTGTCATTTACTAGAATTTATTGTGATAATAGAATTTGTTAAGTAGAATACATTGAGGACTCTATGAACTATTTTATATAATTACAATCATGTAAGATGTAGATTTTAAGTTTCCAATTCCTTAACATTTGTTATTATTGGATGTTTAATACTTGCACTTATCTTGTTAGATATATTATTTCTTATATATATATGTCCTTGTTAGTAGGAATAATCTGTATTCAAACCAAAAGGACAACTATGTAACATCTGTATACACCTGCTGAGAGAAAAGATTTTCTCCAAGATATTTATCTATACATTCTGATTATATGTTCGATTTATTACAAAAAAGACTAATGATGTTTTCCAAGAAATGAACAACTATGAATTCATAAATCAATTAACAATTTAACACAAAATTGCGTATACACATTGGTATCAAACGATAAAGTATCATCATTTCTGTCACATTGTTATAATCAATTAATGTAAACAATAGTAGATAATATATATATATATATATATATGTATTTTATGTTGTTTAAATTGACATCATCAAAGAAAAGTGATGAACGAAATAACAAGAAGATAATTATCATCTTATTAAATCTATGAGAATAATATGACACGAATAAAAACATAATGTATCTTTTCTTTTTTTTTGTCGATTTTGTTTGAACATGAGGTGATATTTACTATCGTGCATAGGGGGTATTTATATTATATATATATGTATGTATGTATACAGGTATTTAGTATATGGTATTGCACGCTATGGTGCATATTTCTAATTGTCTCGTTGTTCACACTGATATGCTAGATTTCATAATGTATTCGCAGACAAATGTAGAGAGTAGAGTCCAGCTGTGCATTCGTCTGTGTCATTATGCAAAAAGTTCCACTACACTATAGTTCTATCTCCATGTGCCCAGCACTAATCATGTACAGGCACTGACTTTTTTTTTCTCTTTTTTTCTATGTGCCTTCCGTTTTTTTCCCTACTCTTATTCATTATACAAGAATCGAGATTCTCAACAAGACTCATTAGCGTACTTGTCATAAGTAGATATCGTTTGTCATTGTCTGATGATAGTCGAGTAAGTAAAGTTCATTATCATTCATAAGTTTGAGGGCGAATAATTCCAAAACTTAATGAATGACTTGTTACATAATCAAAAAAAGGATGCTACCATTGTTGTTGTTTTTTCTGCTGTTATTCCTGATGACGACCTTTTGTGATCTAACTATGATAATGGTGAGACTATGTTCAATATGTTACACGATGTTGATGAAGAGAAGCTCATTAACTACGTATGCTATACTATCCCAGAGAGTATATCACATGTATATAGTCCTCGAAAAAATTGATGACAACAACAACATGTGCAAGTCATTCGGGCACTTTTTTTTCTTCTTACGAACGTATATATACATACATACATATGCTTGAAATTGATGGAAAGAGAATGAATAAATGAGAAGTTGGTTCGTAATCCTTTGTTGCTGTAGTAATATGCATATACAATAGTTTTGCGTGATTGACAATGAAAATCTTTTTTTTGTGTACTCTCGTTTTAATGGCATTTATCAAGGTTATATGTGATTATCGATAGAAGAAGAAAAAGGTTGGAAGTTTATTTCCTATATTCTTTCTTTTACCTTTTCTTTTTTTAAACTTCTTTCTCATTGTAATCATAATGACGATATAATCTTAGTATGATTCTTGCTGTCAACGGTGTTGCAATCAACTTTTAGATAAGCGAGCGATAGCATTAGAGTAAAATAGAAGAAGAGAAAGATATATATAATATATATGGACATATGGGCGAAATTGAAAGTTAATCGTTACGACATGTTCAGTTTTTTGTGATTTGCACAGGGCAAATCTTCATTTTTTTCCCATTTTCTTTCTTTTGTTTGTTTGTATTTGTTACATACATCTATTAGATAAACGACATGTGTACGATTTTTTTCCCGTTTTTTTACATATATATATATATATATATGAGAATGAATTCATTATTTGTATTGTTATTTCTATTACTACTGCTGCGTCTATGTCTGTTGTCATACAAGAATCACTTGAATATTTTTGACAGTCTTCCTTATTTAATAATTTTTCATGTTCGTTTTATTTTATTGTGATGAAATTACATGGTTGTGATGATGATGATGATGATGATGATGATGATAATCTATATAACAAGAATTGTATAAGAGAAAAGAAACGAGAGAACAGCGCGCGAGAGAGAGAGATGATTGACCAACATTTTTTTCCTCTCTCTCTCTCCATCTCTTCTCTCCGTATATCATTCTTCTGTTATTCTCTTCTTTCAGATTCTTTTCATCTAATCGTTTTAATACAAAAAACAATAAGTTTTGCATGTAATATAAGTCGACTGGTAAGTTGACACTTTAGATGATCTAATTATATGTTTTTGGTTGTTTTTTTTTGTTTCTTAGAATTATGAATCCTGATGATCAACGTACAAGTTGTCCAGGTTTTTTGGATGAATTTGGTGTATGGAATAATGGTTTTGAATGTCCACCATTAACTGGTCAAATTCGTATATGCTGTGAATCAGAATCACGTCGTTATTGTTGTACATTAGATAATTTTCATAAAACTTCTTCGCCATCATCTTCTTTTAATTTATTAAATTCTCTGGGAAAAAATTCTTATTCAACTGTGGAATCATCTTTACTTTTAAATGAAACCAAATCTTCAACAATTCTAACATTACCTATAATTTTAATATGTTTTGTTATATTAATAATTACTTTCTTATTAATTTTCTTAAGTATATGTTTTTGGTATCGTTACCAAAATCGAAATAGTCAAAGAAAACAACAAGAAAATTTATCAACAAAAACAAATTTACTTATTGATCATTTTCCATTTTCACCTCCACATCATCAATTCTTTCTAAATGATAATAATAGTTTACTTTTTAATAATAAATCTTCACTTATACATCAACAAACAAGAGATACATTAACAACAACGACCATAGCTCCATCATCAACAACAAGTACATCATCAACATCAGGTCGTATACCATCCGATATTTATTATAATGATTGGAAAGATTTTCTTATTGCTGCTGATCAACCCATGAATGTATATCCAACAATGTCATCTCATAGTATTGAATTAAATAATGATCAACAATATCAATTATATTATGGTAAACGTCAACAAAATGATGTTATTGTATAAAACAATATTTTGCTTTTTTTTTCTGTATTTCTTTTCTTTCTTTCATAAATTTTTGCACGTGTGTTTAGCACGATATTCGATATTTGTTAGTTGATGATATTCACAACAACAACAACAAGACTGTGTTGGAAGATTGATGAATTATTATGTTAGTTGTCAATATGAAATTTGAGTTGAATTGAATATTGTATAGTATTATGCCTGTATATATTTAACGACGATATTAAGCAAACATCTTAAAGAAATGTATGCCGTTCATTTATTCGATGTATCGATGGCGGAGAGTAAAAATCAATAGATCACTAGTATTGTCTCGATTAGAAAGGTCAATTGCATATATAAGGCCTCCGTTCGTTGGTCAGTCATCTCAATGACAACAATAACAAGAGTTTCTTTTTTTTTTCGTCGTTTGACTACTTACGATTTGGTAAATTGTACGTATAGACAAAGAACAAAGAGAAAGAACAATGAAACAATTAATAACATTTTGGAAAAAATAAATCTACATCTATTGTTGTTCTTTGTTCCTTCTTTTTTCTTCTTCTAATCATAATTGAAAGTAGAATTCTATTTTACGGTTCTTTTATTGAATTGAAAATTTTTAATGACATATTGACAAGTGTGAAGTGAGATATAATCATATACTATGGGGTTAGATTCGTTTCAAAGTCAAATCTATTTAAATATTGTCAATCATAAATCTCTTATTTCTCTTCGATTGTGATTGACTTGTCCTTGGCATCTCTATTCACTAACATTTTCAATGAACCATTTCATATGTATTTGTCGATTTAATGACATACGCCTTGCAATTCTTGATGATTATAGTAGCTGATCATCGATCAAAGACAAGCGACATGATTGATTATTAGTCTTTTAGAAGTTCTATCTTTCATGTTCGACATTAATAAGAAAAAAGCGATGATTATATCAAGTAATATTCGAAAAGAATTTTTTTTTTTTTAAAACCAGCTGTCTCATCAATTAACTAGTCTATCTCAAGGTTGATATGTTGAGTCTTAAACTCAATCGAAAGCGCACATATATAGTTAACCATTTTCATTGTTCTAAACGAGCATTTATATGCGTGCATGATTAATGTACATCATACTACTGTCAGCAAATCGCCTTACATATATGTATTCCAAAAATCGAACAATTACTATTCTGATGAAACATAGTGTGACAATAAAAAGACATATGTATATAGCAAAGTGGTATTGATAAATAGTAACCATGCGTGTCATATATATATGTATATATGTCGTGTTTATGCTGGCAGTTCTATGTTCTGTATAGTTATATAATCAAACAGATAGGCAAATATGATGATTAAACAGAATAAGTTATTCGCACGTGAACAATCAGTTAAACAAGATATTTCTTTTAACATTCGATTTGATCAATCATTGATTATGTCTACGTGCCAATTGTTCGATTTGATCAACTATATGTCTACATACATACATATATATATATATATATGTATAAGAATAATTCGAAGACTCTTATCATGCTTTATTTCATTTGTTTATATAATTGTTGATTGATTATAAAATGTCTTTTGTTATGATTTGGAAAGAACTATAAATAAGACTGATGTTTTTCTTGTTCCTAGAAATCTATTTTTATGTTTATTACAAAATAATAATAGCTAGTTAACAAATAATAAGATATTTGTTTACATTTCTAAAAAGATCTGGAATTGATTTCTAATTATCTATTCAGATCTCTTAATAACATCACATAAATATAAAATGACATTCTCGTTGTTCTCATATTTTTTTTTCATGTACAAAGTTAATGAATCGCAAAGAACATTGGGGGGAGGGCGGAGAGATAAACACATCGAAATGTTGCTATTGTTATTATTAGTATAGATTATACTGTTTTTTTGTTGATGTGTTGATGACTTCTGATCGTGTGCAAATGATATGACATTCTCTTTTGCTAAAATGACAATGTATAAGTATATGTGAATAACTTCCTTAAAGTCATCAAAACATACAGTTCAAAAGAAAAAGAGAGAGAATAACTCTATATAATTGATATATAAAAGAACAGCAATGATCTCAGTTCTGTTGATTTTATTATATAATCATCGAGCGGGATATTTCAACTTGAGAATTGTACATAGATTATATATTTTTAAATCAAATGAGTTCAGAGAATATTGATATCTTTTGGGAAAAAAATATCTTGTTTGTATATACTTTAAGACATAATAATTATCAAACAAATAATACTGACTATATGCATATGTTTGGTTGATTGATAAATTTGTAACGTCTATGATTATTTTTTTGTAGACTTTTGAAAAAGAGATCGAATATCATGTGTATATTTTTTCGATTTTGACAACGTTTTTCTTCTTTTCCATTTACAAACGATAATTATGGTCGGAAAATGAGTGACTATTTTGAAGCGTTACTAATGCGACAAAGCGGAAGTAGAAGAAGAAGAAAGAGAAGATGTCATGGCGACTAAGTAATTTAAAAGCAATACACTGCTTCATTACGTTCATCTAATTAATCGTATTGAATAAAAAAACCACAGTAACAAAGTTTTATTTTAATCAAATCTTTTTTGTTTCCCTCAAAGAAAAACTATCATAAATTGTGTTCCTAAAAAAAGATCATATTATGAGATGGAAATAACCTACTTTATTTTGTGAACGATATAAATATAAGATGAAATCATTGTATGTCGATAGTTTAACTATTTTGATATACTATAATATATTTATTTATTGTGTAAAACAATGAGAAACAACACACACATAGATATACATATATAGTGATTGACTACAATTTGAATTGATTAAAGATACTTGTGATTGTAATATTGAGAGTTAACAATCAAGAAAATTGGCTGCCATAAGTATCTCGAGAGCATTTTCCGGTGCAATGGGAAATTCAGGTATTTCAATAGTTGAGTTGGAATATCGAGCTTTATAAGCAAAATATGAACAAATACGTGCTAGAACCTATATAAAACAAATCATATTTAATAAAATTATAGATGTCATAAGGGAAATTTTGTACCTGTGAACTAATACTTCGGAAATGAATCACATTTGTTTCATTTTCAGCATATTGTCCTAGAAGGAAAAAAAACTCTATTTTATATATTTTAGGAAAATAAAAGAAAAACAAACCAGGTCCGCTTAACATCGCTTTAATTGTTTGAGAAGTAAGAGCTAATTCACGTTTAATATAAAATTCATGCCCATCGGATGAAATCAATTTAACATACATATCACTATTTCCATCATTAACATCTTTCCCATTTGTCGTCATGTTCTGTTTGTTTTTCTTCCTTTTTTTATTGAATGATAAATAGCTCTCAGAAATAAAATATGTAATAACCTTGATTTCAAGAGAATCTCCGATCAAGCGTTTCTCTAAATATCAACAACTATTCTTATGTAATTCATATGATAGGTTAATATATAAGACCAGTTAATCTTCAAATGTTAGTATGAATATACACTGATTCCTAGAGCCATCTTTTCTAAATATTAGTTTTCTATTTCCATTGAGAAATGTCAATGCACTTGGTTGTTACTGTAGATTTCATAACATTTTGATTATTTATATTATAGTTATGATTTTTATTTAATTTATTTTTTCAAAAATTGAAATTTCTAATATACCTGCACATTTTCTTAATTAATAAAATAAGTTTTAATATATATATATATATGGTATTAATCTAATGAAAAAATATGATTTTTATTTTCTATATTTTCTCTTCTTCCATTTTATTATTTAACGTCATAGAAAAGAAAAAGTTTTATACAAAAAAAATTCAATGGTATTATCCAGGATACTGTTGAATTGAAGAAAATAAAATCAAAAAAAAATACACATGAATATGGCACGAAAAGAAGAACAAACAATTACATTAAGGATAGAATGGAATCACTGTTCTGTTTAAAAGAATTCCTACCAATCAAATTGTTGTTGTTATAATCATTCGAGATTCACAACATATGTTTGACTAGATCTGATATTAACAAAATACTTTTCTCTCGCTCTTTAATTACTGTCACTTTCTTCAATAGCTGCAACCGGAACATTTGAATCTGTTTCTTCAAAAAATAATGTTAACCATTTTTTCTCTAAACATTCTTCAAGTTGTTTACATGATACAAGTAAACTTTGTGATTTTTGAAACCAATCATGATAAATAACACCAGCCGAATGCATACGATGACCTGCGTCAGGAACTAATAAACGATAACGTAATAAATCTTTGACTTCATCTGTTATACGAGAAAATATATCGTCTTGAAATAATTTTGGAATGTTTTCAAGTTGTGGTAATATATCTGTTTCTTCATGAAATGGAAAATAACCAGTTAAACTTACAAATATAATCACTCCAATCGCCCACATACTATAAACAAAATACGTAGAAATCCATTAAAATGTTTTTTTAAAATATACTTACTCAACTGTTTTATTATAGCCACGAGCATGACGCCATTGATCATGAGATACTTCTGGTGGTAAATACGCAGTAGTACCTACTTTAGTATAACGTAATGAATGTTCATGAATAGTTCGAGCATAACCAAAATCACCTATAACAAAAAAATAAAGTTACTATATTTATATTTATAGAGTAATTGAAAAATATTCAAGTCAAATTATTTTTTGAATAAATTAACTGATAATATTAGCACTCTAATATATACTTTACACGTACATACCAACTTTTAAATGTACGACATCATCGGGAAATATGTTGATTAAAACATTATCTGGTTTCAAATCACAATGTCTAGAAAACAAAATTTTGAATTAGATTTAATTTAATTAATAAAATTATTTTACGCAATATTTTTAAAATGTAAATATCTTATAGCTGCAACTAATTGAAAAGCAAGAAATCGTGTAACATCTTCATTTAAACGAGCTTTTGGATTTGTATTTGAAAGAATAAAATTTAACATATCAGTATCTAATCGTTCCGTTACAAGAAATATATGTTGTTCAAAATCAAAAATGCCTTCAAATTTGAGTATACCTAGATAAAAACAATTGAAGATAAATATTGATTTTTATTTTTTGCGAGAAAATTAAATATAAACATACCAGGATGATTAAGTTGAAATAAATATGCAGCTTCTTGTTCAATATTTTCTCGATCTTTTGCAGAACACTGTGCTGTTTGAATTTTTTTTATTGCAACACGTACACCATTACGACGCATTGTACCACCAAATACCATACCAAAACGTCCCATACCAAGTATTTCTTTTTCATTCATATCATATAAATCAGCAAAATCTTTTGAATCATTTTCTGCACCTGTTTTACGAACCATTTTAAATGATGAACGTAATTTACGATCATTTGTTGATTGTACAGCTTCATTTATTGTATCAAGAAGAAGACAAGCTAATTTTTGATAAATAATTGCTAATGATGGTGGTGCAACAGATTTCGTATCTGATGTACCATTTGTTACCATACTAGGTGATGATTGTGATCGATTAGCTAAAAAAAAGATTACAGAAAATTTTCATAAAAATTCTATAAAAATTTTAAACGAAAACTAGTGCAACGAATAAATAAGTGAATAGGGTAACAATTTTATAGGTAACATATTCATACATGTATTTAATAATAAACGTTTATTTGTTAATCGTGATGTTGAAGGATATATTTCTAAGAATAGAATGTATACAAAACTTGACTGATTTTTTTTTCTTCTCTTTCAATTAAAATTTCCTTAGATATATCCAGGTCTATTTCTATTGACATTATATTCTATATGTTTTATTAATAAATTCATTAAAAACTATCATGCTGTTCGCCTTCAATGATTGAATTAATAAAAGAAAATCTATACCTTCAATGTCTGTAGCTGGTATTTCGAAAACATGTTTGCTTCCTTGTTCATCTTTTTGTATAAAACGAAATTTCTTTTTATCATATGTTATTTCTGCACGTTTGCTATGACGACTTTCACGTCCAAATTGTGCAGTTGCGGTCCAAATACCATCTTTTTCTTGACAATTTGTTAATTTAATATCTTTACGTCGATCAGGTTTCATATTAGATGGTGGTGTTCGCATATGCACATGTAATGTTTGATCTGGTGGAAAACGAGTATTTTTACGCGTCGTATTTGTTACTCCTGTTGATGCTGCTGTTTCATTTGTATTCGTTGGTGATTCGTTTTGAGTTGTAGTTGTTATTACTGGTGGAGTTTTTATTGGAGATTGATAAAATGGTGTAGACGTGTTAGGTGTTGATCCTATAGTTGCTGATTTGGAATTTTTTGTTACTAAAATACCACGATTACCATTACCAAATATTTTCGAACGTTTTGCTGCTTTATTTTTCAAAGGATCATTTGATACATGTTTTATATCAGCATCAACAATAACAGGACTTTGTGATGGTGTTGAATTGATTGTAACATTCGATGATGCACGACGCATTAATGAACTACTTCTTGTATCTTCACCAGGACAATCTGCTGGTAAATGTTCAGCACATTGATGATGAAAATCTTGTCGACAAATTTTACATCGTTTGCCCTATTGAAAAAGAATAATAATAATAATAAAAAGAAAATATTAGAAAAAACAAACCTGTTTTATAAGACCCCACATAAAATAATCACAATGTGAACAATATGTTGGTTTTTTATAACTATGTTCAGCAAGTATATGATCACGTGGTGGTATTATATGTACTGGATCTGTACGCCAAATAATTATTTCAATAAAACATGTTGGTGTTAAATCACTTGGACGTTTTATTAATTTTAAACTTGGTGTTTGATGATCAGGTGAAATAAGAAATAATTGTAAATGATGAAGATGATCATTGACTTGCAAACTACCAACCTCTTTTGCAACAATTTCTTCAGCATTTTTTTTAAGTACGTCAAGTACCTCCGGATTAGATCTATCTATTTGTATTGATTGATATTTTACTCCAAATTTTAAACAAATAAATATAAGTTCTTGCGATGATTGCCGTTGTGTCATTGTCATTTGAAAATAATTTGTTTTTTTTTAATTTTTCATATCTATAAAACACAAAAACCAAGGAGTTTTAATTTAACGACGTCAAATGTTATCTAGTATATTCTCTAAGCCAGTTATTTTTCTTTTTTTTTTTTACAAACCAACGATTATTTTAAAAGTAATATTAATAAGCATCGTTACGCTTCAGAACACGTTTGAAATATGAATACTAAACTTTAAAAAAAGAAAATGTTCTTCTTTTTCTCCCTTCTTTAATATAAGACGTGAGAAAAAAACCGGAGTTATTTGATGTTTCTTCCTTTTTCTCTTGAAATATTTTGACGTCATTATTTGAGCTGTCAACACTTAATAAGGCAAATGAAAGAATTCACAATCTTTATCATCTCCGTTTTTTTCTATCTACGTTTATCAATGCATGAGCGATCCTTTTCAAATATTATCCTCTCAGCAGAATTCTTCTTCTTCTTCGTTTATATATTATTCAGCTGGATTAACGAGGAATAGCTTTTGAATCTACTAATAATTGACAACGGAAAAATGCTACTTACTTGAATTATAGAATATATATATATATTAACGGCATAAACTGTTGTTTTGTCTGTTCTGTCTTCTTTTTTTTTTATTTTATTTTGTGAGTTGTGAAGAAAAAAAAGTAATCAATTTCTTTTTTTTTTATTTTATTTTTTCTCTACTGATAAATGTTAACATGACTATAGCATGATCATGACATTTTTTGTTTTAGCTACTGTCATCATAAGTTATAAAATATGTGGAATGTGACTTATTCTTATTTTCTTTTTTTGTTTTCAGAATATTCTAATTTAATTTTATTAAATAAATGAGAATATTATATTTTCTTTTATCGAAATTATTAATATTTCTATAAATAAAAAATAATTCTTAATATTTTCTATTTACTTATTCGTTCCTTGCTCTGTTTTATAACATATAGATAAAAACCAGAGAACAAACATGGCAACCATCATGTTGATAAAACAAGTTTATAAACATTAGATATATGATTAACAAATATGACTCATATAAATGTAACAATAAGATCAAGCTAATATTAAAACAAAATATGTAACTCACTTAGTATAATATTTATAAGAGAAAATCTATTTTTAACAAAGAAAAAAAGAATAATTTACTAAATATATAACTAGCATAACATTGAGTGTGGAATAAATAAATATTTTTTCTTACTTGTTCCTACTACCTTCTTTTTTTACCTTAGCCATACCTTCATATATATGATTTGTTTACATTTGTTTGTCAAGTATATATATTTATTATTTGGAATAAACCGATAGAAGAAAAAAGGAGTAATAACAACACTTCATATGGAGAGTTCTATATGATATATGACAGGAGAAAAGAAAAACTACAACTGCTGGTAATTGTTATGCATGTTTTTATGCTCTTGCAGAATAGATGAAAGAGAGAGAGAGAAGTAATGTAATTCATATATATTTTCCTTACTGTTTTTTTTTCTCTTTCGATAGACGTATAAATGTATGCTTGTTCTGTATCATAATTCGAAAAAAATGTCGATAACAATCTATTCTGCAAAGAAGTTTCGTCTCAGATTTCACTTCTAACACATCGACATTGTTGTTCTACTATATTTCTTTTACTCTCTGTTCTTTTTTTTTTGTTTTTGACTTATAGATACTTACCGTGTGATGATGTAGATGAAGAAGAAAAAAATGGGAAAAGAAAAAAGAAAGACAAGAAATGAAAAAATGAGAAAGACTACTGACAAACAAAAAAAAAGTTAATCGAAGAATGTAAGTCTACATACCTTGTCATCTGACAGATGTGCATACTCTCTCTCTCCCTTCCTCTCTCTTATTTTTTATCTGTCAAGTCTCTTGCATACTCTTGTGTTTATAATCAGCACATGTATTTATACGATCTTTCATCAGTAAAGTTTTTTCACATCTATTTATACAAATTACTCTGTTTTTATTTTTATTTTGACACGTGCTGTCGTCATTAACGTCTGTTTTTCTTTTCCATTCTTTTCTTTAGTTCTAAATTTATATGATAAGTGTGCAAAGTACGATTAAAAATTCATCATATCATACTTTTTTTTATGATTTTACGCTCTAATATGCAATAAAATCAGAGTAATTAAAACTTGTCTTACTATAAAAACTAGTTTTCTAGTAAAGAAAAACAAAAATACCATATTCATATTTCTATTGGTGCAATGAATAAACATCTTTTGTATTAAAACCTATACATATTAGATCAATACAGTTAATTCAAATCTTATACTCATAATTATGTATTCATATAAAGCCTTTTTAGTTCTCGATTATGATACTTTAATAGAAAAAATTCATCAAATAATATTACATGGAACTTATCATTAGATAAACTTTGAGAAACCTATTCCATACGATGATATCTTAAAAGAGTATTATATTGTATGTCTTCACTCACTTTACTATACTTATTTCTAAGTTGAAAAAAATGTTTTTATGATAAAGTAATTTAAGACTAAGAATTATATCTAATTTAAAAGTAATTTATAAACTAATTTTTCAAATATTATCATTCATCTTCATCTTTTTTTGTCTTGCATCTGTCTGATTACCGACAACATTAAACATACATCATCTTAAATGCAACTGCGCAAGATCACGAAATCCGGTTCTAAAAAGGTAGTGAAAAACAATCTTATTAAAACGATGCCCTGCTGATAGAGACGACATATTTCTGTTTTCTATCAAAAAAACAACAGATTTGTCTGCGTGATATATACTTTTCTTAACTGTAAATGACTTAAATATACATATTTATAATCCAGGGATAAAACTTTTAAAATAATTATATCTGTCGTTTCACATCTATCTATGATTAATATTTTATGATGTATTAAAAAGGATTTTTTTTTGTATTTATAACACATTTGATACATATATTTATTTGCTTCAATGACTATTAAATACTATATTATGCTATTTGACATTGATACTTACAACGTTCTATCGAGTGAAATCAATCAACAAAAAAACAAGAAAAAGAAAAGGAAAATTTGTGACTATAGTCATGAACACTAGCTAATGAGTACTGTGTCAATATAGATCATGTTACCATATTTATTTTCCACAGTTCGCCAGAATGAACATCATCTATATCCTGAGGCTAGTGTTTTAATAATTATGTGCATGCCATATATAACAGAAAAGCAGCTAGATTACATTTCCTCTATGCATATTTATCAAAAAAGAAAAAAAGACGAGGCTGCAAATTCAAGGATGTTGACTGAACGATAATTATCGAAAGCAAAAAAAGATGTTTCTAAAAAAAACAGATAATTCGAAAAACAAAAAGTAGAAAATGTCATGAAATGTGTTTTATTACAATATCAAATACACACTATATGCTCGAGAAAAAGTTCGATAAGAACCTATTCGTGCCATGTCTAGCTCTTATTCAATGCTGACGATCAAAATCAATTATAGTCTAATGAGAGGAAATTTTTTTGATGCATCACTAGAAGTAAAAAGGATGCCGCCTGCCATCTGTCAACTTCCATAGAATACCGAATTTATTCCAAAAAATGTTATAGTATTCGTAATTTACATTATTTTACTAATCAATATCAACAAACAATGCAAAGATTAATCGGTAATTCTATTCGTTTGCGTGTTAAAGTAAGAAATTTTAATTTCTATTTTATAATTTATTTATTAATATTTATCTATTCAGAAACAATTAATAACTCTATGCCGTCAGTTACATACAAATCAATCGAATTCTTCAATTGCTCATGATTTTAATGTAGCATCAACATCAACAATCGATTCAAATTTTTTTACAAATCATTTTCGTAAAATTTCACCATTTTCTTGGCTTAAAACATCTTCATTATCAAAAGAACAAAATGATGGATTATTTCAAATTAAAGAACTTTCAACACCTGAAGGTTTTCATATACTTGCTGAACGTGTTGTTAATAAATGTGAAAAATTACTTGATGAATGTTTTAATCCATCAAGACGTAAAATAGTTGAAATATTAGATGAAATATCTGATGAAATATGTCGTGTAGCTGATTTAGCTGAATTTATTCGTAATGTTGATGTTGATAATGAACTTAAACAAGCTGCTGAACAAGCTTATGGAATATTACATCATCTTGTAGAAAAAATGAATACAAATACGAAATTATATGATCATGCTAAACAAGCATATGAATCAGGTGAAGGTGATGAAACTGATCAACGTGTTTTAAAATTATATTTAAATGATTTTGAACGATCTGGTATTCGATTTACTGAAAATAAACGTTTGAATTATTTACAATTACATGAAGATATCTTACAATTAGAAAATCATTTTCGACATGGTGCACATCGAGAATATCAAATTCCAACAAGACAATTATCAGAAAAGGTAGGAAAGAGGTAAGATATCATAGAATTTTTAAAACAAACTATTTTCTTTCGATTTATGAATTAGATTCAATGAAAAAGCAATAACAATTAATTCTGCGCATTCAAATGATGATGATGAAAATTTACGTGAATTTATTTTTCGTCAATATTTTCGTAACGAACCTGAACAAGAACGTAATCTTGATCAACTACTACATAAAAGGTTTCTTTATGTCCTTAAATATATGAACTTTTTTCTGAAAACAAAAAAAATATATTTAGATATGAATTAGCTAAATTATGTGGTTATACATCGTATAGTCATCGTGCATTAGACAATACATTATTAAATAAACCTGAATATGTTACGGATTATTTAGAACAAATTATGACTGCTATTCGACCGTTTGCTGATAGAGATATTCAATTAATGCAAATACTTAAAAATCGTCTAGATCCTCAATCAACGAATAAACCTATTGCTCCATGGGATATTGCTAGATTAGAAGCTAGATTTAAATCTGATGTGTATGTTATCATCTATTACTATATAAGAAAATTTATTTGATTTTATAGTTTAAATATTAGTACACAAGAATATACACCGTATTTTTCACTTGGTGCTTGTATGGATGGACTTAATCTAATATTCAACAGTCTTTTCAAGTAAGTTAATAATAAATATGATGTTTTTTTATATTTCAATAATGATCTTATATATAGTATCTCTGATTAGACATGTATTAGTGTCAGATAGCTGAGTATTCATTCAACCGATTTAGAATCTATTTAATACTCTTATATCATAATTTGCACATTCGTGATCATTTAACAAAATTATGAATCAGAGAAATAAGTATTTAGTTCTAGTCATTAGAAGTGATACTAATGTATATAACTATTTCTAATCGTTTTGAATAGAATCTTCATTTATCATAAAATCGCTAATTAAATTATGTTCGACTGTATTACAACTTCAGTTTATGAAAATTATTTTTGTTTTGTTTAGTGTGACATTAAATAAACAACCAACAGCACCAGGTGAAATTTGGCATCCATCTGTTGTTAAACTTTCTGTTGATCATGTAACCGAGGGAACAGTTGGATATATTTATTGTGATTTATTTGAACGGTAAAAATTGATTTCTTAAATATAATATTATTCATTGTGTTTACTTAGAAAAGATAAAGTGCCACATGATTGTCATTTTACAATTCAATGTAGTCGACGTCTTGCTGATGGTTCATGTCAATTACCAATTGTTGTTCTTCATGTTAATATTCCACCAAGTACTAATCCAAATATACCAACACTTCTTACATTAGGTAGAACAAAAAAATGTAAATAAATAAATAAATATATGCTTTTTGTATCTTTAAGGTTTGGTAGAAAATTTATTTCATGAATTTGGTCATGCAATGCATTCAGCATTAGCTCGAACACGTTATCAACATGCATCTGGTACTCGTTGTCAAACTGATATTGCAGAAATTCCATCACAATGGATGGAATATTTTGTTTATGAACCACGTGTAGTTAAATTATTTGCACGACATTATGAAACAGGAGAAACCATACCTGATGAACTTCTTCGACGTCTTCATACAGCTCAAAATTGTTTTCAAGCACATCGAACACAAGTTCAAGTAAATAGTTCTTAAAATTATTTTCTTTTCGATACATACTTCTGTATCTTTTAGGTGGCATGTGCAATGTTTGATCATTCATTTCATGGTCCATATCCATTATCGGAATCGTATGAAAAACTTTATTCATCATTATTAACCAAACATACATCATTACCTTACATACCATCAACATATCCATATTTAAAATTTTATCATTTAGTAGATTATGGTGCTCGTTTTTCAAGTTATATTATTGCACGTTCAATAGCAAGTAAAATTTGGCATGATCAATTTGCAAAAGATCCTTTGTCGAAAACAACTGGTGAACAATTTCGAAAAAATTTTCTACAATGGGGTGGTGAACGTGAACCAAATGAATTAATAGGAAATATGTTTTCATTAACAAAAAAATTAACAATTAATGATATGACTAAAGCTATTACTGATGAAATCAAAGATAATGCTCAAAAGCGTGATAGTTTGTTTAAAAAAAAATAAATAGATCTATCTAATAGAAAAGAAACAATTAAATAAATATTTAAATAATTTTATAGAGAAGAAAAAAAATGAATTATCTATTTTTAGTACAATTAAAAACACAAGTAGAATTATGAAAGATATTGATGGGGAGAGGAAGATCTAGATTAATTTGATATATAATGAAACACTCAAGTTACATTAATCTAGTTTAGGGATTTTGTAAATAATGAATTAAAACCACTTTAGCTTTTATTCTATTAACAAAATCTAATTTATTCTTAAAAATCATATCAAATACAATATACCAACATATAGACAGTTATTAAATAAACTCATTCGTTATATTATTAGATTACACATTTTATTTCTTACCTGATGTTGAATATCGATATAGTAAAATACAGATTCTAAGAAATCGATGAACTATCCATCTTTAGTAAGTAGTAGAACAATAAACCATTGTTCGTATTTTTCTAACTATTTATACTGTTTGAAGTACATCATTGATTATTTGCATATAGATTCTTAAAAAAATACAATAGATAAAATCTATGACATTCATGTAGTCTATACTTCAAGGATAATTTTCTATTTCCGTTTTAACAGTTGTTAATATTAGATGAACAATGGAAAAGATGGGGAGATATTATTATCAATCTTTTCCAACTTCCTCTAAAAATTTATATTTTCATGACAAATAAATTCATCGGGTGTCCCAAACAAAATAGGCCTCTCAGTATTCTTAAGATTTCTCTTCTATTTCCCGTTCGATTAAGATACCTTCTTTGATCATAAGAGAGGCCTCGAAATTCTCTACAAAATCATACATGATTAGATTTTAAGTGAAGAGATTGGAAAAAACTGTAAATTGTAACAGTTTTTATCACCTGCTTTGTCCTCTCGAAAAAACGAAATATATCAAAAAATGCACCATGAAAATCTCTACAATTTACAAGAGATAAACTATGAAAACAGCTGCGAAGAATAAACCAATCGATCTTTCACCAAAAGAAATTATCGCTCTGTACGGCCAATATTTGATCGTCGGAAATCTTACCTGTTTCGAACAGGACAAAATAAGTACAAATCTAGTCATACATAGTTTTGTAGAGAATTTCAAGGCCTATCTTATGATGACAAAAAGTATCTTAATCACACGGGAAATAGAGGAAAAATCTTAAAAATACTAAGAGGCCCATTCTTTTTGAGATACCATATATAATTATTAACTAGTAGTAATTTTCCATACTATACTTTACAATCATTAATTTCTTCTACATATTTCGTTTTTATGAAAAAATCTGGAAATATTATTATTCAATTCAAATATCTCATTTGTTTTATTTAAATAAACTAAAACAAAATTTAAGCAATATTATTTATCTTTTTTTTGTTTTATAATTTTGCGATTGTTTGATTTGTTGTTTCAGTTCGATAAAGAATATTTTTCGATAAAATATCAAATAAAAAACCAATAATTTGTAATGAAATAAGTATTGTAATAAATATAATTAAACGTAATGTTGTTTCATTATGAGATGAAAATGTTTCAAGATAAAGACGATGAAGAAATATTGAAATATTTTCTAATGATATTAATGTATTAATTGATATATCATTAATTGAACTATGAGTTAGAAAAGAAAACATTAATTTAAGAAACATTCGTTTATATGTATCTTTCCATTTTGAACGATCAATTAAAAGAGTCATCATTAATGAACAATGAACAATGGTAAAAGTTATTATAAACCACCAAACATTAAGACGAAATAAAAAGATAAATGTATAAATACGTGTAATAATTAAACATAATCGAGATACAAATGATATTATAATCTTAAATGATATTTGTTTAAGACTGAGAAATATTGATAGGAGACAATAATTCATTATTAAATGATATAAAATACTAGTAATAACAAAAGTAGATGAAGAAGGAAGACGAATACTAAGTGGAATTTCTCGATAAAATAATGGTCGAGTCCAATTCAACGACATTGTTCGACGTGCTAAATGTTTTCGATCATTTTCAAATTTCGACCAAAATCTAAAGAAGAATATCCTTAAAAACGTTTTTTGACAACGAAATAAAAGAAACTGGAACTACCCATCAAATCTAAGTTTTTTAATGAATTCTAGAATAACGTTTAACAATGAGATCTCCGCACTTCGATAGAAACAATTAAAGAGAACGTTAGATGGAATATACTATTATATTTCGTGAATAAATTTTTTGAACGAGGAGTGTTTTGATCACCACAAAAGGAGTGAAATGATCACCTAATTAGCTGTATGTGAAATGATCACCAAATTAGAAAAAATAGTTTAAAAATTATCAAATAGAGTAAGAAGAGGTGATTTGGCACAACTTTTCTTTCTAGAGATCTTTTTGTAGATGATTATACCTGGACGTGGTAAAAAGATGAAAACAAAGATTAGTATAGATGTGTAGAAAAATGTCTGGGCTATCGAATGGTATATTTATAAAAAAATGATTTAAAATAGCTTAGTAAATTAGATTTTATTGTTTATCAGTAAAATACATGGGATTGACAAATCACCCCGCATACTTACACTGATTGCCGAATCACCCCATGAGGGGTAATTTGGCAAAGCTATTAGTCAATCTCACTAAAACGGCTGCTGAAATTTTACCAGAAGAGATTTTTAGAAATTAAAAACACCAAGCGATAGAGAAATATTTTTACTAGATATTTTGTACTCAAAAACGTTTTCTATCATTAAAAATAAAGAACTATTAGTAAAATAACACAAAAATAAAAATTCATGTGCCAAATCACCCCTTCTTACTCTATTCGATTATTTTTAAACTGTTTTTTCTAATTTGGTGATCATTTCTCTGTTTTTTGGTGATCATTTCACTCCTTTTGTGGTGGTCAAAAGACATTTCTCCCAAAGTTTTTAGTCCAGAATTTAATCAATTTTATGTGTTTACATAGATTAAACATTTTCTATTATAAAATGAATTAGATTCAAAATACTTTTTTTTGTCTGTGATTTTAAATCGAAAATTTAATTACGTCAGGTACAGACGCTTTTGTATCTGTAGACATAGTTTATAGCCTTCGATTTCAAGGAAGAAAATCGGATCGAATCTCGTCTCTTATTTCAATTTATAAGTTATAAAACTTTTTTTGTTCTGCTTGAAATCATTTATATATTTTTCTTTTAATACTTCTACATTTATGCTCGTATTGATATACTCTCAATGATGGTCATACGATATTGAATTACGAATATAATCCAATATTGAATTTTATATTTAATTTATATATATATATATATATATATGAATGACCATGAAAATCTTTGTTTCTCCACTTACCCTATCGAAGATCGAATAGGCATCATATTCATCGATGTAGTAGATAATAATAAATCATTATGAGTTGTCCATTTAGGAATAAAATAATTCATATTTAATGTTGATTTAGTTGATAATTGAAAATTATTTGACCAAAAATAAAGATTAACAAATACTAAAAGACTTGAATGAATTAAATAGAATAAAGTTAAATAATGATAAATTCGTCGTTTCATTGTTTTATAGGATTGTATTTGATGTTGTTTTTGTTCATGATGATGAGGATGTATAAGAGATGAATTTGTTGTTTGTGATATATTTGTTTCCAATGTTGTTGTTGTTGATGATAATGGTGTCGATTGTGTATTTAATATTTGTATATTATCAATTAAATTTTTATTAAATAAAACTAATGTTAATTCAACAAGTTCATAAAGTATATAAAGACGTAAGATAAATGGTATTAATAATAAACGTGTTGAAAGATTTTTCATATCAATTAAATTATTTATCCATAAAATAATATCACAAATGAAAATAATTGATAAAAATATTGTAAAATATACATAATTTGTATGATAATATATATAAAGAAGAACAATATCAAATGTATTTGTTAATAGATATGATATGATAAGAATAATTAAAATTAATATTGAAAAATTTGAATATAATTTTTCTGATTGTTTTGGATTATTTTGTATATGTGGTGAGATTGTTAGAGATTTCGGTGTTGTATATATTGTTGAAAATGAATAACTTTTTGTTAGGAAAATTTTTGGTTTAAAATTTTTTTGACAACGTTCGGATTGTGTACGAACAATTTGATTGAATGTTGGTTTTAATGATAATGATGAATGTATAATATTTTCATCAGCAAATGGAATATTATCACATAATAAATCGTGATCAATAGATAGATTTTCAAGTGTATTGGTACTTTCAATTGAATTACTACCAAATGTTGTCCAACTATGACGATTATCAGATTCTCCTGCTGTTGTTGTTGATGGTAATATATAAAAATTCATACCATGAGTTGATAATCTTTGATAAGGATTTTTAATATTAGTTGAATTTGTATTCGTGGTTGATTCAATAAATGATTGTTTTTCTTGTTGTTGTTCAATTGAACGAAAATCAAGATCAGCAAGACTTGTATGTTTACAAACTAATAAATGACATTTAGGACAAGCACTTAGACTAAACGAATAATGTAATACATCCATGAGATCTACAATGACACTATTTTATTTTAGTTTCAATGCATGAATGATATATATATATATATATATATATATATATTCAAAATCACACTTTCACATTAATCCTTTCAATCATATGGGTATCTGTCGTTGATATATTCACTAGAAAAAAAAAGAAAGAATGAAAGTAAGAAGAGAATGAGACTACTTATACGATTTATGCTAATTTTCGTCTATAATATCAGTTGATGACATTGATGCATATATTCTCATGTTAAATCAAGAGCCTATAAACACAACAATGCAGCAACACAAACAATAACTTACTCTGCCTGCCTGCCTGCATGCGATTAAAGTGTCTCACTCTTACTTTTACTTCTATATTTTTATATTAAACATAGACAAAAGTTCACGGATGAGAATGGTAATAAGTGACACGACCTGTCTTTTTCATAGTGTGATATGACAATAATCGACTAGCTCAATTGCTTATGAACGCGCGCATCTCTATAAATTGACTGTACGAGAGATTTTTTATTTATTAGTATGTGCACAATGTATAACTGTACCATTTACAGTTCAACATTGAAGTAATAGTGAAAGGAGAAAGAAAAACAGAGAGAGGGAGAGAGACAGAAAGAGAAACGATAAGTTAGTCATTGCTTCATGCTGTCTGCTTTTCTCTGTTATCAATTTCAAATTAAACTATACTGTATGTTCAAAGATGAACACATATTATAGAATGAGTGCTCACTTGCTGTTGTTCTCCATTGAGTTAGTTTTATTCTATATATGTATACGAATGTATGTGTGTATGTATGTATTTCTTCATATTACTATATTGACGATTGATGATGATGATGAGTGTAGGTGGTAATAGTGGCGATCGAATCGGTCAATTAGACGTGAGCAAATAAGGCGGGGGATGAATTTGTTTTTGATTGTGTGATACCAATCGATTGTCAATCTATATTCTATTGAAAAGAAATTTTTCTCTTTTTTTCGAAAAGCTTAATACTATAGAATGATGATGTGCAAGTTATAACCTTGTGTGAATATGTATATTTGTTTACTAATTGAACGTGTAATGTGTAATGATTTCATTCTCGTTCTTTTTCTTTCTTTCTTCTTCTTCTTCTTCTTTACCTATGAAATATGAGAAAGGAATCGAACCGTCTCATTGTCACCTTACCTTTTTTTCATTCTCAATCCCATCTCATCTTTATTCCATTCAATTCATTTTCAAACGATTTGATGAGAAGCTTTAGAAACGGCGCACTACCACTACACATCGAACTACTATTCAATCATGCACGGGATTGCGATCGAGCAGAAAAAGAAATAACAGGTGGAATAGTAGTAACTAAATAACGATGGATACCTACAGACAATTTGTTATTGTTGAAGACCTTTCAATACTGACACATAAAAGAAAAAGAGATAGATCGATAGACAGATGATATACATTTCCTCTCCTAGTATTATATATATATATGTCTTCCGTCTATTATTCCTATTACGGCTGTTTTTTGTCATTTCATCATGAAAATCAAAACAAAAGTCTAATGACTATATAACTATCTTCATTCAAATCACATCTGTCTGTCTGATTGATCATTACAATGAATCTTTTCGTTTACTTTCTTATTCTATTTATATAAAGTCTACTATAGTTTATTTTTTGTCTATTATCTAATTTCTATATGACCTTAAGATATTACTTATTTCTGTTGAAAACAATATATAACTATAGTCGGGATTTTATTCTTATTTTCTTTTTTACGCAACATCCATTAAAAATCTATACAATTAGTAAAGTAATGTTCACATATCAATAATAAGATTATTTGCTGAGAACAAACTCCATCGGTTATGATTGAATAATACTTCTTTTTTTCATTTTCTATCGAATATGACAATCAACAAATATTTGTGAACATTGAAGAGGGTCAATATTATAATCAACTTCAATGGTCATATAAACTATCATTATTTATTATCACTAAGATGATAAGGATGGTTGATTTTTAAATAAATACATCGACAGATAGTTCCGATTTTTATCATTTCAAAAGTAAAGATATATATATATAGAAATGTCAATTTGTATTGAAATGAATCGTATTCATTCAAATGTTCAATCGATCGATCATTGTAGAACAATAATGAGGCGATACAAATGTGCACAGATTGACTTTTTTTTATGAATACATTATAGCGATTAATAGTATGAATGCCATTATTTTGTCTCTCTCATAATAGACATATTTAGATAATCATTATCTGATTTTAAGAGAGATAGAGAAAGTCTTTTTTTATTTCTCTTTATTTTATTTTATACATTTGTTCAAAAGTTAACCTTCACCTAGATGAACTTTTTCAGATTTATATAAAAAGTAAATATATATCATTCAACAAAGGTTTCATTCAAATTTAAAGAAGCTGCTGTCAAAATTTTGACATTTTAATTCATTGAACGTATACAAACTAATAATAGTTGACATTGTTTGAATCTTTCGATCATTGCCTTTCATATTACATATGTCATTTCAAAGATATATAAAATCATACTTTACTATTATATTTCGATAGATAAGTAAATTATATGGATTACTATGACTTTCTTGAAAATAATCACATGTCATTTATAAGAACAAAGAAGAAAATAACAATGATCAATTAAATTTAATTCTGTAATGATTAATATATGTGTATAATAAGAAATTTTTTTGCGTAACTTTTAAATTTTGTCATTTATCCGATGACATTAAGAAGATTATTTCTAATCTTAAAAATTTAAAATGTATTATATAAATAATGAACTTCTTATTCTTATTCATCATTCATTTTTTTTGTTTATATAAGAAAGAAAAACGAAACATTAATTACAAAGACTAATTAATAATTAGACAGTTATCGAAACATTATGAATAAAACTGGATGATTTGGCTGTTGCTGTTGTATTGTTATTATTTGTTGAAGAAAAAACAAGTGGTATAGGATCACCTCGATGTATAACATCACATCTAGAATTATTCATTTGAATATGTATAAATGAAGTTGTACTATCATCAGTTGATGATACTGTTGATGCTGAACTTGTTGATGAACAAGATAGAGATGGTCGACTATAAACAAATACTGCAGATGTCGATGGTACTAATGAATCATTTTCAATTTGATTAAGACTTAAATCTGAAAAATGTCTTTCCATTGTCGATTGAAATGGTGTAATAGCTGGTGGTAAGGATGGTTCAGCAAGAACAACATGTCGTAATTGTTGTTCTTTTTTAATTGGTGTTGTTTTAAATGGGTCCGGTGATGATGATAACATGGGTTTTAAAGGTTTTTTTAATATAGGATGATGTGGTAGAGAACGTCGAGCAAATGGTGTACGACGAATATATGGTGAAGAAACAGTACTACTTACACCAGCAGAACTAGGACATTTTGAAGATGGTGATGAAAAATTTCTTGTTTCATCATAACTATCATATGGACGACGAAGATTACTTATTGAAGATGATATTGATGATATTTCTTGTTGATGATGAAATAATCGAGTATTTGAATAGGATGATTGACGTTGATTGCTAAATATAAATACACATATAAAAAAAAGAAGAAGAACTCGTAGACATGTACTAATGTCTAATTAAAACGATGCATGTCATCATTTTTAATATTCACTCAAGTTGTGTCTGAGATAAATTTAAAAAAAAGCTAACAATAAAAATAAAACAACAAAAATATCGAAGAACTTTGACATTATGTCAAACTAGTATTTAACTTTTTCTTATAGATAATAACTATTCTGTAAAACTTTAAAGTATTAATTAAGAGGCAGATCTCTAGTGTAATTACATAACAGACATATATATTTTTTCAAAAGCAACCATCATTAAGTTTTTCCGTTCATTAGAAATATCCAGTCAGAAAACAGACGGATTAGCATTAGTGATGTAAGTACTAGTAGGTTTGAAAAACCCAATAATGAAGAATGTTCGACTTTCTATACTCATTTACTATATCAGATTTTTTTCCTCTTCATATTAAAATTATGTAAATATATTCACCTCTCTTGTAGTTGATTCTGATTAACATGCTTTTTAACAAATTGTGTAAATGCACTATTAGTGGATACGGACAATTGAGATTTCAATCGATGAGAAGCATCTGATTTTGAAGTTGTTATATTACTTTTAATTGATTTTTTAATAGAAAAATCTTGTACAATTTGACCTTGTTTTTTTAATACATTTGAAGATGAACGTAATGGACGTATATTTGATAAACGTGTATAACGTTGTGTTGATAAATCAAAACTATGATGATTATGTGATGATGATTCACAATCTGAAAATCCTGAATCTCCACCACATGATGATGATGTCACATCTTGACGTTTTTTACATGAAAATGAATTTTGAAATAAAAATGATTGTGAACCAAGTGTTGATACTAAAGAAAATTTTTTATTTGCTGGAGGTGTTACTGTTGGAATACTGGTTGATGGAGATTTTATTTGACATGTTTTATTTAATTCGAAATCATATGGTTTATAAAAATTTTCCATATCATTTGTGTGTTTCGATGGTTGTCGACGTAAAATCGGACAACAACAGACATATGGAACAAAACCTTCTTCATTATCAGCTGTCTTAATAAATAACCATTCATTTACAATAAATTGTGCATTCACAGGAAAACCTAAGAAACATTTTTTTTTCTTCATATTATTTTGACAAAGGTTTTTTTTCATTTACCTCGTTGAATTTCAATTTGCTTCTTCTGTAAACCTTTCGCATCAGGATTAAATGTCACAACAACTAACATTGGAATATTAGCAGGTGATTGTGATGATGCACGTCGTAGTTTTTCTCTTATACTCATATCATCTTCACCATCAGATTCATCTGTATTTGCTTGACGAATTAATCGTCGTGGTTTATCTAAATAAACACAGATGTTGTCTACTATTCTATTTATTGGTATAGTTAGGATAATATAATGATCAATAGAACAATATTGACAACAACAATCAAAAATGAATATTATACCTGATCGAAAAAATCCATATTGATCAATTGAATGTTGTTCATTAGTTTTAGTAGATGATTTTGGTAAATCATCATAGAATGAATCTCGTTTAGCTGTTGTACATAAACATGTTTCTAAATAAATTAAAAAAAAATAAGATAAATGATTTATCATATTGAAAACTATTCAACAGGTGAAGATGATTCTCACGTTTATTTGTATCACCGGATGAACGAGTACGTGCTCGTTCAAAGAATCGTCTTAGCAACATGATGATAATAATACTACTGCTCTTCAAAAATATATGCCGTTATGAGAGACAGAGAGAGAGAGAGAAAATAGAAAGAGCGTCATACGGCTTTACCGTCACGCGTCGACCACTATTTCTTCTCTGTTCGTTTTCTTCTTTTTCTTCTTCTTCTTCTTCGTTTTAACATTACATCGATGCATATATAAACACCATGTAAATATATAGGGGGACATAGATGAATACCGTATCAAATATGCATGTGTTTTACACCAATGCACTCGTCACCTTGAACGTTCATCGATCAAGAAGAGAAAGAACATGACGACAATGGAGAGAAAACAATTGTTATGACATTCGTCTCGTCGATTATCTCGAGAAGTGTGAGAAACACATACAAGAAAAAATAATAATCATATGATCGTTCTATAAATAATTATTACATATATAACAATTGCATGAAACAGATGAGCTGATAATCAAGTTTATATGTCATTGTCGAGATATAGACATCGACTTTTTTTTTGTCTACATGCTGCGAGTCTTATTAGAATAGAATTCTCTTTTTCCCTTTCATCATTATCAATATGCAATTATACTCACGAGAAAATTTATCTTTAGTGTTATACACATATGTTCTAACTCATCGTATAACAAATCTCTAAAGATTTCTATATAGAGTCAATCAGAATTTTCTCTAACATAGTTAATAAATGAAGAAAGAAGAAAAAATTGTTTTTTTCATCGTCAATTCATTTTATATGAAATTAAATCTTTTTCAATGAAATCATTTTTCACTCAGACAGTTGACTATACTTTTTCGTTCATTTTAATATCAATCAAATCGAGGTCAATCATATATAATGATGATTAGTAGATGTACCAGTAACAGCAGGATAAGAAAGAGAAAGAAAAATATTTGAACTTGCCCTCGTTTTCTCTCTTGTGTTCGTTCATTTTCTTCTTTAGACAAAATGAGAAAAGAGAATAGATTGAGATTTCCAATTTTGATAATAAATAGGTTTGAAAAAAAAGAATGAACGTGTGTTAGTGCTTAAAATGAATTTAGCTCTTTACTAATTGACAAAACTTCACAGAACATCCGACAGACTTTTTAAATAGAAAAAAAAAGATAATAAATGAACAAATAAGAGATTGAGGAGTGTCTCACTAAGCGTTAGACAAGTGACAGATGAAAAATCATGTACAGATATATAATAGTTTTAACAATCTTTTTGATCACAACTGAATTTGACACCGTTGTTCTGATTATTTCTTGACCTCGAAAAACAATCACATACATGATTCATTTAATTGCCAGAGATATACAGACTCTTATGAGGCATATAATCGATTTGTTACTAACTATTTTTTTTTGCCCGGTAGCATTTAAATGATGGCATAGCATAGCATAGCGCGTACGTATAGATTCATCATCGTGCTCTTCTCAATGAAGTACTTGCTGTTGGCAAATATATATATATATATATATATGTATGTATGTATAACATCATGATTACTACAACTACTACTCCTACAACCACTACCATCATCACCATCGTCATCATTATCATCATCAACAACTGTCGTCTAAAGCGAGGAATATGAATATATGCGTAGGCGTATGAGCATACATAGAATAGTTACGTCAGTCAGTCATTCGCTTGGATAGAGTAGTAAGAGAAAGTGTATATATATGTCAAATGAAGGTCTAATTTCTGTCGTTTTTGATGTTACATCAATGAAGAATGCAAGTACATAAAAGTGTATATGTGCATCGATGGTTCTATATTGTTACGTTGCGTGTACATATATATATATATATTTATATATGCATCTACTCATAAATGCTCATTTATTCGAAATGACATAAATACTTCCTAATAATTGTTTTTATTTTCTATTCGAGAAATTTTCTTTCTTTATAAAAAAAAATAATTATTGTTCGTTCCTTTTTTTCTCTCTCTCAATCTATCGGAAGTATGACCTATGATCTTTGATATCTATTTATAATTTATTATATATGAATATTTCGAAAAATATATTTAAAGAATCTTGTTTGTTATATATAACGTCTTTCATGTCACACATACATACATAAATACATACATATATAAATATAAACCGTTGCATGTTCATATTTTTTGTTATTCTTAGATGTAGATTAAAATTGTCTATATGTGGGTATATAGGTGCATATGTGTGCACGCATGTGTTCACCAAACCAGCAGGATGATTAACTCTATTCGTTCATCGTTTCTTTTTTCACTTATAAATATGAACAAAATAATTGTGGGTGGAATAGTAACGAGTAACTGAAGTCTAACTAATTTCTTTGTATTATATGCACTAATAACTTTTTTGTCTTTATCTTCAACAAGCTAACTCAATAGAAGTTCACTTACTTTTGCCCAGTAGTCGACGTGCCAAACCTGGCATTGTAAGTAATCAATCGTCAGGAGGTCGAAGTAGGCGTATAGACGATAAATTTAAGATCTAAATAGAAACATAAAGACAAATAGAAGGTAAAATAAAGTAAGATGAAAAAGTAATCTTTTTTTCTAATAGTCAAAATGGAATAATATACAATGAATACATATCAACTTAAAAAACACTTTTGCCTTTTATGCTATATTAAAAAGCAAGATTTGTCAAATTTAAGACAAGCAATACTTTCTTTTGACAAAATGTGGCATCAGATTGATGACAGGAGAAATTGGACAAAGTATGACATAAAAAAAAACTAGAAGTCGATGTTAATAAGAGAATGTGCAATGTAATATGAAGAGAAAACGAAGAATCTGTAACAAGACAACTCTCATTCTCTCTCGTTGTCTTTCTCTCTCTCTCCCTCTCTCCCTCATATTCTCTTCTTTTCCTATTCACTACAATTTATGGGACGAGAATAGAAAGAGAATACTGTCATTTTTTTTTCACAATCACGTTCTAATTGTACCACTCGTATTCTTTCGCTCTGGCAAACAACAAGACGAGAAGAGAAAAAGAGATGATGCTGAACAAATGCTATCAACGTTCAATTTCTCTTTTTTTTCTTCTCTTTTCTTAAACATAGTTGTCTGTCCTATTCATCGTCCCTGACGAGATAACGAGAACGCGATGACCATCATCAACTTTACTATCGACGCCACTATGATAGGTCTTCTTTTGTCAGAAGCAAGACACACATCTGTTCAAGAGAAAAATATATTAAAAATGCATAGTTAATGTCTGCACGAGACACAATTGATTTTACAGATGCGCATCGTCCATCTTTTTCTCTTTCTCTTATTACTAGGATTTCCGACGGCATCAATACAAATAGATAATTTTAGTGGACAGAAGAAATAAAAAAAAAAAGTTACTACAGACAGGAAATAAATTCCCTTTCTCTTTTTTTTCTGCTCGACTACTGACCCCGCCTGATAGGAAGAAATATAGGACTGTCGTGTCATTTGGTCAAGGCGGTAAGCTTATTGATGAAGTCTAGTGATGAGTATGAGAATGAATCTTCCTTTTTTTTCTTCTCTTCTTTAATAGACGTCATCATCATCAATGGAAAAAAGGGCATTTCTAATAATAGTAATGTTTACTTCTTTGTCTCTTCGCTCATATAAGATGATCTGAAGAATAAATAAATCTATATATATACTGAAGAAAACTAACATCATACGTCAGTAATCATAATCATTAGTCGAAGTTTGATTTCTAATCCGATTATTACGTATGTATATATATATATAAATACGAACAATTTCCAATAAATCATATTGAATATCTGTTGATAGAAACATTTGATGATATATTGTTTGATATATGATTCGATTCTTAAGTGATTATGTTCATAAAATAAATGAATAAGATTACTAATCTATTGTGTATCTTCTCGATATATTTTTAGAAATCCTTTAATTAATTCTTGTAATATGAGACCATTAAAAAGTACACCAAAAAATGTCAACATATAACTACAAAATCTTCCAATAGTTGTCAATGTTGAATGTGCATCTGTATGTCCAAAACCAATTGTAAAACTAAAAATATTTACTTTCAATAATTAATTGATTCATTTTTGTGTAAAAAACAAAAAAACCTGAGTGAAGTTGCCCACCAGAATGCATCAAAATGAGTTTTCATTGTTGTTTGATTAGTTTGATCTTCTTGTTGTCGTCGTTCAAATGCAAATGTTATCTCACTTAATGAACCTATTATAATAATATTAATAAATACTAATATACAAATAGTTTCGAATCTAAATATGACATAAAAAAAAAAGTTTTGTTATTCATGAAAAACTAATTAATTTCTACCGTTGAATAAATGTTAGAATAATTAATCTTAATATACGTAAATGTGCAATAACAATGAATAAACGTAATGTTTTTAATGATAGAATTAAAATATTCAACCGATAATAATTTGTAATTATAATTAAATTTTGACTAGCAATTAATATTATACTTAATATAGTAGAAAATAAATCTATAAGAAAATATTTATTTCGAAAAAATTCTTTTTTATAAATTATTTGATAAACAATAATTGTTGTTAAAAAAAATGTACTAAATAATTCAATAAAATATGATAATGACCATGTTAGATTTAATGAATTCGTATTTAATGTTTCCATACTTGTTGTTAACATAAATAAAAGACTAATTAGAAATAGAATTATATTAATAAAAGAATGATTTTTTTGAAAAAATTTTTTTTCTTGAAAATATTGATAGGTTTCAATTTTATTTATTGCATGATAAATTGTTGGATTAGTTAATTGAAAAAATTGACATTCATGCTTCAATAAATCAATAGGAATATTATGTGGACAAAAAATCTTTTTTTCTAATGTATAATATGTTAAAATATATGGAAATAATAATGGATTTCGCTCAAAATAATAATCATTGAGTTCATTACGATAATATTTTAATAATAATAATTTATTACCAAGTAATGTTTCAGGATAATTAGCAACTATTCTATATGGTATAGAAAATCGTTTGCCTAATAGATTTATTAAAAGAATATTTTCCATAATTTTTAGCAAAATGTTTGGCGCGAAGTTCAAAACATATGTTTGAGTTTTATTTATGATACAATTTATTTACAAACTAAGAATAGACAAAATTCATTAATCGAAATTCAATGAGTAAAGAAGAAGAAGAAGATACAAATAACATTTAAATAAAAAACAAACGAGAAACATATATTTTTAAAGTATTTGACCATGATAAAATGAAAATGAACACCGGAGAAGAAGAAGAAGGAGTTATTGCTCGATTATCAATGAATAAAATTGATTTTATTTACATTACAGTAGTTCTAATCGATCTTTCTTCGGTAATAATGATTGAAGGCGTGTTCGATTGACAATTGTTTTATTTCTTGCTACTAATTTTAATTGTTGTTGTTTAGCAGAAAATGATTGCTGTTCACGAAGAAAATTGTCTATTGAACCGAATTGTATAACAACTTCAGTTTGACCTTCATCATCAAGTTCATTTAAATTAATCCATAATAGATTTGTTTTAAGTATATCATCAGAAAATTGTTCACCAAATATTGGTACACGATGTTTACGTGGATATGTTGCTGGACGTGCTGGTGGAGGTGGTGGTGATGATGATGATGATGAAGTAATAATGATTTGTTTTGTTGATGATGTATGAGGAGTTTTGGTTGAAAGTCCAATTAATGTATGATAATTTGTATTATTACTATTTATCGTTGATGAACGTGATGAACGTAATGATGATGATGATGTATCCATGGGTGATGATCGTTGTTTGATGAGAGGTGATGATTTCGATTGTACAGGGCGTATGGGAGCTATAAGCGTTGTTATAGGTCGACGTATGGGTGGTGTATATTTTTTTATTGTTGCAATAGCGGTAGCAGTAGATGATGACGATGTTTCGATAGGTAATGATGGTTTAAGACGTTTAATTGGACCGGGACGATTTTCTGTATCACATGACGAAGCAGATCGTTGTATACCTTGGCCTGTTCGTGTTGGAATATTATGACGAGTTGATGTTGAAAGTGAAGTAGTTGTATTTGTATTTGTACTTATCGTCGTCGACGATGCTGATGTAGGTGAAATTTGCATTGGTGATGAACTTGTAGCTATAATATATGTAAATAGAAACTAGTAAGAAACCTCCTTTTTTTAATCGATATTTATACTGACTATTAGACAATGATTGACGTCCTTGTCGTTTGGCTACATTGAGTCGCACGCCCATAGCAGCTTCGAGTGCCTCGAGACGAGACTTTAAATTAGGCCCCAATGATTCTAAATATATTCAATAGAATAATAATAATAATCAATCAAGCAAATCAAATCATAGAGATTCTCGTTTTTTTTTTCTCTCATTTTCTTGCATAAATTTCCTTGAAAATCTACCTGAACGATGTAGTATTGTCATACTCGACATACTATATTTTACATATTGTATCAAAATCAGATTACGAAGTTCAATAGAAGAAAAAACAGTAGACACTCTACCATTTTAATTTGTGTATGTGTGTAAAGAAAAGAAACGAAAAATGTAAGTATACTATCACAGACAAACATACTATAAATATGGTGCACTAGTCTACTTCATTTTATGATCTTCTTTTATTTCTTTTTCTTTTTTGTCTTTATGTATGGTAATCATCAATGAAAAGAAAACTTACGTTCACTATGAGCAGTTGTGACAGCGGAAGTTGATGCACGAGACATGGATGATATTGTTGATTGATTTTTGGGCATATTTATTCGAATAAAACGATTTAATTCATATAATTAATGTTAGAAGTGGACGGGTGTAATCTGTACTAAAAATCAACGATTGACTTTAACCTTCTGGTATATGCGTATTTTACTTCTCATTCGTTTTCATTTCTTTCTATCTATTTCTTTCTCGTTCTCGCTCACTCATCCATCTCATTCCTGCTTGTTCTTCTACATCGTACGTTTTACTTATGTTGATGGTTTATATGTAATAAGTGATGAGTGTATTGGATGATGTAGATGGGTTGAGGACAAGGTTTCTTGCTCGATATTCAACCGCAAATATATGAACGAAGCGAGCTATGAACGAGCGATTAAGTCATGCTTACAAACAAGCAAAAAGACATACAAGCGGGTTGAGAGAAAAAGGGAGAGAGAGAGAGAGAGAGGGAGAGGCGAACGAGCGGTGAGTAAAGAATAGAGCGGAAAAAGGTGTTTCAACATATACAACTCGTAAAGAATAGTTACGTGGCATATGCTCCCATATTCATGAAGGATTAGACGTCGAAAAGAGTGTGCGAGACTCTACTCTTTCTTTTTCTTTAATCTCATTCGAGTATAAATGTAGCACGCTCCCGCTTAATTGGACAGACTACTCGTTGTCTGACCAAACACACAAAAGAAAGTCAAAAATATACATTCTAATTTTGTTAAATTAGTAAAAAAATATATCAAAAGAGATGACATTGAAGATTTACAAACAAAACATTCTTTCAAATGATTTACGTAGTTATTTTTAACGGTAAACTACTCTATATATATATCAATGTTAAACATCAACTACGCATTTAATGAGTAAATTTACTAATAGATTGTTGTTTTTAGTATTAGTCAGTACAGATATGAATAATATTTACTTTTTACTTTTATGTTGATTTTCATTTTTTGTTGAGCAATATACATGAAAACATAATATTATTTTTAAGATCAATAAACTGATTGATTTTAGTTTCATATTAAAATTAATCTATTCAATTAATCTTTTATATTATGTCATTTTTTATTATATGGTTTTTTTCTTGACATTAATTAATGTTCTTTTCGGTAGAATTAATTAATATATGCGTGTTGTTTTTTTTCATGGCAATAATTTATCATAAAAAATATTTTCTTTCGAATATTGAAAATTTATCTTTGTCGTTTGTGAATCAATTTTTATGTCGATGTATTATATTATTGTTGATGATTATATAATACAAAAAAAAATTGATTGATAGTAAATGAGAACATAGTTTTTAATTAGACTGTATAGAATATAAATAGTTGAGTAATAATGAAAGTTTTTTAGATAAGATTAGTACGTGTTCTAACTATAAGGTTAAAGATAAGATTTGAACTATAAATTAAGCGATTTGATACAATTGATAATTATTCAATGATTTGATACTAGTACAAAGTCAAAAATAAGAAGTTTTCTATGAAGATAAATGAATAATTTTATGAAAACTAATAGTATTCTTTAAAGTTATAACAATCAAGATTAATGTTTTCGATCGGACCCCTTTTTTTGACTAATCTTACCGTTTTGTCATTCTCTTCATTTGATTTATTTCGTACTGAAATATTATGGAAGTTTGTTTTTTTTTCATTGCCTAAAAGAATTATCGTCTAAATTGATGATGATTTTCTTTTTTGTATAACAAGATCTATAGGATATAACAATTTAAAATATATGTATAAGTGTTAATGTTTGTAGGAAGTATTTCGTTAACCATATCATTATCATCGTTATACATTAGAATATGTCTAATAACCTTCTTTACAAGGTTTTATTATAGTCCAATCAAATTTAATGAAGGACAAAATTATCTTATTAGCTATGGGAATTTCTTATCAATCAAGTTTCATTTATACTATCAATATTTGTTAATTCCATTAATTTGATCAAATGTTTTTAGTAATTACATCATTAAAAGTTGATGATATTTGTTATATATATACCTTAATATTTTTAAAAGAAGAGATATAGCAAGAATCTTATAAATTTTATCAGATTTATAATGTACATAATTTAATTGTTGACTTGTACGAGAAATATAAGATATAAAAATATTTTTGTTGATATATATATTATAAGACCTTGTGTATGTCAATACAATAATAGGCAATGCGAACAATCAATATATCAATACATGTTTTGGTAAAATCTGAAGGTTGTTCTATATTTTTTATTATTTATTAAATGATAAAAATAGGTGATGAATTGAATGTAATCACTATCAATTATACTCTATATTAATCATATCAGTCTGTATGATACAGTAAACATATTCTATGTTGATATCAGTGGGTGTAATCTGAGAGATCGTATTGTATGTCTATAGAAAGATTACTGAGAATGTTTGTGTCATAATTCGATTTTAATGAGACGACATGAACAGCTTTATTTGCATGAAGTAAATAGATTCATATTTAACAATAGCAACTGTGTTCAATGAGTTATTTTTTGTCAGAAATAATGAGTAAAATCAAAAATAGTTCTTTTATGATACTTCAGACATCAGAAAGATGTGCAAAAACAGTATGAGTATCTTCATAATTAACAGCGTGAGACTTCAATGTTTAAAAGTAGATATTTACAATGTCATGATCTCTGCTGGTGCTGAATTCTCAAAGAATGAGATTTTAAAAAACTAGATTTCTTTGAGAAATGATTTTCTTCGCTAAAACAATTTTCTGATCTCATTCGATTGTGGAGCACATTATCTGATCTATAAAACCTTATTTTTATTCAAGGTTTTAGTAATTATTGAAGTCATTATAAAACTTGAAACTTTATATGACTGAATAAGTTTAGCTTTATTCACGTTTTTATTTTGAAGTATTTTGTTAATCTGCATCTATTTGTGTATTTCAAATACGTTTTGTCATATTTATGTGGCTATAAACTTCATTCTGATAAATACAATCATATAAGACAATTCTTTTTATTTAAATACGAACTGACATTTATTGAGAAAAAGTGGACTATTGGAGAAGCCGATCGGGAAATTGTTTCACTCTGAGAAGAAATAGTTCAACCTCACAAAAGCAATACATTAAGAAGAAATAAAAACAGCAAAAAAAAATGATATCTGTTTAATATCTTATTCGATACCATACGGATATTTCTTCCAAAGAGAATTGGTACAAACATGAAAATATATGCACTCAATACGATATGGATATTTTCATTCACAGAGAAATCCTTTTTTCGAGTTTGATGTCTCATTATGAGTGGAGATATGAATGAATCATATCGTACTATTAGTAATTCATTTCTACTGAAGATGAACTGATCGCCAATATGGTTATTATTATTTCTTTCAAGTTACATGAGTCTATGTTAAACAATCTAATTGTACCAAAATCTCTAGGAAATCCGAACAAGTTCATAGGACCATATTTTCTTTATGTCGACCAAGGGACCACAAATGCTAAGCAAAAAGTAATGATAGAAAGTGATAATTTACTACGCAAAATTCAATGTTACTTACAAGATCAATTGTAGTATATACTATCGGTTGAATTACATAATGCGACCATATCATTATTTAATTCTTCTACGTTAGACGAGTTGGTTTCTCCTTTTGGTCTTTTCAATTTTCCACTAAGATAGGTTTCTATTTATCATCTCTCTAATGAATCAGTAAAATTCATTCACTTTCAAGCACTAATTGAAATTATATTTCATATGGAGCAGAACGAAGGGCAAGCCAAAGAGTAAATTCAATCATTAAAGTTATCAATTAAATAATAAGAATGAAATAAATATCATCAATGAAAACATTCATAAGAAAATAAACATAGCAAATCCTATTGAAATATCACTTGAGAGAAATATATATATGGAATGAATTGAATATCAATTTATATATAACAAATATACATTCAATACTTACTAGCATCGGCATTAATACAATCATATTTAAGTAGTCGAAAAAATAATAACGATAATAATTTAACTAATGTACCAAATTTATCAAAAATTAGTGAAAACGCACATAATACGAACAGTTTTGATTTTATAATTAAACAATCATATGCAGATAGAATGACAGTAAGTAAAATATTGAATTTCAGCATGGAACTTTGTGCAAATTTCAATAATTAATACTAACAAACAAAATACATATACTAATATAAATAAAAATACGTTTAGTAATAAAATATCTTATTCTTCATATTTTCAAATAAATAACAATAATAGATAATAAATCGATAACGAATAAATTAAATACAATATCATATCTAATAAATACACAAGTATCTAAAGCTAATGAATTTAATACTAAATAAAATGATAATAATGAACATATTTTATTAGAGCAGAATATTAAAAAAAAACATTTATCAAGACAAACAGTAATACAATTAATAATAAAAATTCTTATTTTCCAAATAATCAAATAAATAACAATACTACAATTGATAGTATTAGTAATACTTTATCTCTGCTTCTAAATCTATGTTTTACACTATTTTAGTAAGTTTGTCCTGTACATGTTTATATAAGTTATAAAAATGTTAATTCTAATGTAATTTAATTCTTATTAACAACTTGATAATATCATACCTGATTATTATATTTTTTATATGTATGTGTATTTTCTCCTTTTATCATACTATGTTTTATAATATTTTCAGGTCTTTATCAGTTTCGACAAGATTATATTCTTGAAAATGACTTTTTAACTAGGCTGAAACATCGAAAATAATTTTCTCAATAAAGATAAGTGAACCCTAATTTTTTGAAAAATAATAAGAATATTTTGCGCCGTTATCATTTATAATTTTTTATTAAATGTAATATATTATTTAATACCTATAAAAATAGAAAAGATTAATAATTGGATAAATAATACTGTTTGAAAGAAGAAAAGTTAAGTTTTATGTTCTATAATAATTTATTTTTTAAATAATATAAACTTTATCAATGTATGTTACTAACTTATTCTTTTTTAATCAAAACACCTTTTAATTAGCATATGATTCAATAG